GCATATAGAAGTATAGAACATAAAATGGGTTAAGTGTCATAAAAACTATTCAAATGTAAAATTCGAATGTCATAAAAAAGCTTTCATTGTTTTTCAAGTTTGTGTTTCAAACAATGTTACCAGAAGAAACGATTATTATTACTGAGGATATTGTATAAAAAAATATTTGTTAATTTCATAAGTAACTAGTTCATAAGTAATATAGTGGATTTGTTTTAATAAATCCACTATGTTTTCAACAAAATAAAATTATAAGTATTTTTCATAGTTTCAGTGAACCTGGTGATTGGGAACAACTTTGCTATCCTTTGTTTTAATAAGCACCATAAAGACTGTCTGTTTCCGTAAAAGCTGACTGGCAACTTTGGTAAAGAAGCGTTGAATTTCGCCTAGTCTCTAAGTCTTTCCAATCTAGTAAAGAAAGTTGGGTGCCGGAAAATAGTAGTTATACAACCAATTACTTTGATCTTCTGCTAAAAAAAACTCAAATGAAGGCACCATAGAAGTCTCAACCCCTCTTCAGTAACTCTGACCCGTAGAATTGGAACTTTACTTCGGATCAAATGATGTTCTTATACAAAGCGCAAGTCTTACTTTACTTGATGCGTTGCTCTCACATAGTGCTAAGACGGAATTATGAGTAAAGAAACCGCAGTCACTTAAATGTTTGATACTATATAATCACAATTACGACTTTTTAATCATAATTAATAAAAATAATACAATTCCAATATTTTCTTTTATAAATATACTAGGTACCCACCCCAGCTTCGCAGGCGTACTTTACAAAAATATAAAATAGCCTAGGTTGCGTAAAATGCTTTGAGTACTTATTTTTGAGTTAAATGAAAACAAACAAAAATTTCTTCATCTTTCTTCGTTAATCATAAAATAAATTTGAACTTAGAAAAACTGAATATTTTTATGTTGATAATAGTTTTTCAATATAATAAATAACAAAAAAATTGTATTCAAAATTAATGACGTGATCATGTGAAAAAGTGAGCTATCGCGTGGATTTAATTTCGAGAATTATAAAATTTATGATAACTTTTAAATGGTACGTCCGAATTAAATAATTAAAAAAGTAATTTATAGATAGTACTGATGTAGGCTTGAACATCAAGTAATTTATTTTGATAAGACTTAATACTGTAATTATGAAAATAGCTTTCCTATAAACGCTTCATAAATGACAATTCTTAAAAGTAGTGAAATGGATATACATAGTATGTTATCCTTAAGAGATAATATGAAAACGCGGACTTTTCTGTAGAACTATATTAGATACACAATTTCACTATCCATTGTTTTGTTATGTCTCAAAGGGTTTTGTCATCGTTTTCGTTAAAAGATCCCAGACGGTTCATTTCTTCCTGACATCTTCGACAAATATCGTTAAAACCTTTCTTTAGAGTCACGCTATCGAATGGTGAAAACTGCTTGATAATAATTGGTGTAGTAATTTTTCTCTTTATTGCGAACAGACAAAGAGACGCGGCGGGGATTTTGTTTTCTACTATGTATTGATGATATTGATTGCTGCAACATATACCTGAAAACACTATTCTAATAATCTTGAAAAATTACTTACAAAATGTTACAAATTCTTGATTCACCGTCCGCTTGATTGATATTCCCGTAATCTCTGAAGTTAATTGGAAATAACTCGTCATCGAAACTCTCGAGTTACCATCTTTTCCTGGTATGTGAGAGCGACTAACAATGGTTTACCATGACATTCCCCTTTAACTAAAACCACATCAGTGCTTTCATAAGCTGAGGAAACTGGTAGTCAATAGTAACAATTTACGTTTCTCAACCTCATGAACTAATTTAAATGGTTTAATATTTTTAGAGTATTTAATTTAATAAAATATGTTATTAAAATAAAACAACAATTTTTAGACATGGAAGTAAAAACTAAAAATAAATTTATTAACACATAGTTGTAAGGTTAGTTATTTCGTTTTCTTTTAATTTTCATGTTATTGTCAATGAAGGAAATAACTATGGGTTTTGTAGATATTTATGATAACAAATGAAACTGATATAAATATTATCCGTGAAAATTACGTATGTTATTTTTAGTTTATTAATCGATTATAGGATAAATTAAACTAACCAACACCTGGGACCCGGTCATAAAAAATGCAAAATCCTATACCCATGACTAAACCGCGATACCTCGAGACACAATGAGCGCTTTCTATAGGCATCCAGAGCAGTACGCCGGAAAATTAAGAAGTCGTTGGTGGTAGATGACAAATAACAAGACCAATTGACACACATTCTCATCTTGTCTGACCGTGATCACAGTTGCTGCAAAGTATTTGAAACATCGGGAGTATGTTTTTGTTGCTAGTTTAAAATAATAAAAAAAGTAGTAAATAAAAATATAATAGTTTTATTTAAATGGAGAATCGCGAATGTCTTATATTTCATGATTATAGGATAATTTTATTACAGGCATGTAAAATATACATAGTTGTAATAGAAAAAATATTATGATTTGAATTTTATTTTGAAGTAATTTGACTATTTTTTATTACATTTCCTATCTTCAGTACATTTACCATGTTAATAATCACTATTTCTCGACGTTATGTTCTGAATTCCAAATTTTTTTAAATAATTTAATTAGTTCGTAATTGTTAGGAAAAAAATATTTTACCAATTGCTATATATCGAATTCGATATTATAAACTAATTATGTTTTATTAATTTCTAATAAACTAAATTTAAATTACTTATATTTTATGGTAAGGATTGACTTAATGATTTAAAATTATGGATGAATTTGTCGAGAATCGTTTTTGATTCCTTTTCGAGACAGTACAATGTTAAACCTTCTTTACCGATTTGAGTGAAATTTGGTATGAAGATTGTTTGAAATCGAGCCAGGCCACATTTATTTTATTGTGAATATTCTACGAGGACGGATACTGCAGAAATATTATGATTTAGCCAAGAAATTTAAAGGTTCCCTTCTATTTCATAACATTCTATCAGAAAATCCTGGTTTCCTTAACATAGGATAACAGTTGAGACCATTGCTCTCTAAAAGAAAAAGTATCATCGAAATTAGTTAATTAAAAAACAGAGTTATACGCGGACATACATTATAAAACATACTGGGTTTGAACACTTCCTTTTTTCTTCATGTTGATTGAAAATATATTCATTTTTCAAAAAATGTTTCTGTACCTTATAATTAAAATTTCCATGAGACAGATTTTTAATTATTTCTAAAAGGAAAAGTGTTATACATGAAATAAAACATTTTTCCAAATACATTTGGTATATTATTATTAATTGAAAATAAATATATTTATATATATATATGTTAAAATGAAACATACATACATATACCTTAAGATAAATGACATAGTATTATTATGAATCATACTACACAATAGCACTACCAAACAGATATAATAATTGTAGATTTTATTGACTAGAAATACTTTTTGAACTAAATTCCTAACACACAGCCTTAAAAACTGAATGTTGTACATAATTTAAATAAAAGTGTGAAAGGAATTAAAAACAAAACTATTCTCAACTAAGAATAGAAATTCAAAAAAGGCACATGATATATAAATTGTGAATTGTAATTCGAAGATATTGAAGGCAATCGTTTTGAAATAATTTGAATATAACTTAAATACATTATATTTTTGAACTGTTCATAATTTTATTACATTGTTTAAAATATTCATTTTGCTTATTTCTTAAATAATGTAAACAATGTTGCAGCAGAAGATGAATATCTTGTTTATTTTCCAAGACATTTAACAAATATGGTGGAGGTATTTGATATGAAAAATTCTTGAGAATTTTCCGACGTTTCAATTTTCTTGGAAAAATTTACATTACTTAAGTAAGCGAATACATCCATTCAGGCTTTAGCTGTTTCGGTTTCCATGAATAATTTACTATCTTTGTGTAGATATATTGAATACCTCTAAATTAGTAATAATAATCTAAAACAACATGAAAATACTCTCAAAAATAAGATTTCTTCGAACCATAGTTAGTAAAACCGTAGAAGATTTATACTTATTCCTTAGATTGTAAAAAAGATTAAAATGTTCCACTTCATGAAACGTTAGCCTCAAGTCCAGAAAAACAGATATTTATTTTAACTCGATGTTCTCTATCGAAACGCTTAAAATAATTTTAAAAAAAGTATGTTTAACTACAATTTTCCTTTTCAAGAGAAATATATTCTACATAAGTTCCTCTGTTGAATATTTTATATATGTATATTAATTTAAAACAGACAAATGTTACAAGATCACTTAAATTTCTTAAAAAAATTAGGTCTACATCCATTTAATTATTTTTTGGTACAACTGTCAGATAAGTTTGGGGTAAACGTGCAATAGACTGGAATTTTAAAATTTATTCATAATTTAGTAAATATTTTAATTAGAATATCATTACCTTAATTACAGATACACATTTTTAAAATTCATGTATATAAATATAACAAATTCTTGTATCGCTACTATTAATAATAAATGCGGGTAATGAAAAACATGGATACAAAATATTGCAAAAATAAAAACAATAGTTTGTATGAAATGAGAGAGATACTGACGGACAGGACGGTAAAACGTATTTTAAAAATAAAAACACATTGATTTAAAATATTTAAGCGAAATCTTACAACAAACCAGTCATGTTAGTTCATTCTCCGTCTTAAAACTTCTCACATCTTCCATTAATTTCATTAAATAGAAAACATACCCAAACCTTAACTAATTGCACTAAGCATTGGCGTTATTATTATCAAGTCAGTGGGATAAGACACCATTGCTAAAGTTTTTGAATGACAACTGAAAAGATGGGTGAAATCGATAAGTCAATTACATTCATCGTATATCACTTATTATGAGATGTGTCATGGAAAAAGTTTCAATTTAAAAGGGAAGACAAATTTCACCTTTAACTCTTAGGAGGGTAGGATATTTTAAGATAAAAATTCTACGCATTTAGGAAATGACACATGAATTGCGTTTGCTATTGGCGTGACGCTCTCTGATCTGTTGCAAATGAGCAAGTTGTGCCGGTGAAGGGACATGAGGCGGGTTTGAAGACGGCGATGGACTGGAACCTGGAGGACCCTGAGGTCCAGTCGGTAGACTCTGTCGTCGTCGTCGCCGTAAAGCTGGTGATAAATTATATTTGACCTTAGCCTGCACCAACAGTTCTTTAAATATTTGAGAAACATTGATGTTATCTTTAGCAGATGCCTCTACGAATCCGTTTTCCCAATCCACTGTTACGACGGACTCTGTGGTATGAAATTCCACCTGAAAGAATAAAATAAAAAAGCGTAAAAGCCTTTTAATTAATTGATATATTCTATAATTTTTATTTTAAATTTTAATGTTTTATTAAACAAAGGAAATCCATACAACTTGTTATAAATATATAAATTTATTTCATGAGTAACAAAAATTCTTTATAATATTTAAATTATTATTTTCGATATTCAAACTTTAAGAAGTATAAAAAATAATCTTAAGAAGAAACAACTATTTGTGCTTCAAGAAACATTTAAGTCGTATTTTATTACTTTTCTAACGTTAATCTATAAATCCGTGTAGTTGGAGATATGGCACGTGTTGCTTCTTTAATATCTTTGAGACCTGAATAACTAAGACTTAGCTCAGTCCTAATACTATCACGTTCTGCTAAGATCATCAAGAACTTTATTGCTATTATACTAGACCTCTCGAATAGTATTAATGCTATAAAACCGCTTTTATATGTATATTCTATGTTGATTTACTGGATGTCAAAAAATGTTAAATATATCGAATGAATTTAAAAACTTCTTTGGTCAGATGTAAGCTCAAAAGCCTTATTATAATAAAAATATAAATAGTTTAATCCACTATCATATTAAATGTGGTCTATAAATTATATAAACATATGTAAAAGTTATTGTTAACATAACAATTATTGACTTTAAAGTATGGCATTTCGAAAGTACGGACGTAGAAAGCGCAGCAAAGCGGATATTGGAGAGTGGACGGGCACCCGAGGCTATTATCCAGAATGTTCCGGACTTGTCACAAGCCGACTACGTACTCGTAACTGCATTAATCCACCGCTTCAATACACTTTACCTCCGTGACAAAGTTCCGATAAAAGTTCAGCACATGGACTAACGTCTTCCTTTATCCGGCTTAAAGTCAAGAGTTTAATAAAGTAGCAAAATTTGCTTTAATTGCCTACACCGAGAGAATTATATCTATAACATTCATTATATTAATAATGTAGTAGATGTAAAATTTTAATTCATGTACACAAGTTTTCGGTATACATTATTTGGACAACAACATTTTAACCTATATTTTTAAGGAAATATATTTACTAACCCTGCTAAATTAATAGGAAGATCGAATAAACAGGAAATGGTCACGTCGGAAACACATCCGACTAACGCCATTTACATGTACATATGTATATGTTTATGGATATATAGAAATGAAAAAAAGTTATGGCATACAAATAGATAACCAATAATAATAATCAATTTATTAATAATAATAGAATATAAAAAAAAAACACAGACTTGTATAGTCAAGAACTACAATAGGATTGCTTGAAAAATTACATGAATTTCATAACTTTCTTTCAAAAACAAGTTAGTTTCAGAGACAGAAACGTATTATTCTCAAGCTCGATTAGAATTTCTAAAGTTACTAACCTCTCTCTCCCCAGACTCCGCCAGGTCTACTTTATTTCCGACAACAACTATGGGTACTGCGGTACTTTCTTTAGTTTCATGAATTTGATCCCTAAGCGCCCGAACTTCAGCGAAGCTGTTTGCGTCTGTGACATCATAAACCAGTATAAATGCGTCAGCAGATTGCATAGACAGAGCGCGCATAGCTGGGAATTCGTAAGCCCCAGAAGTATCCAAAATATCTAGTGTTAATCTAACTCCAGCTACGTTGAAATCTCCATGATGCATTTCCTCTATGGTTCGCTTGTATTTTGGTGAGAACGTGTTGTATAAGAATTGGCATATTAATGATGATTTGCCGACTTTTGCTGCACCCATGACGACTATTTTGTGTCTGACTGCATTATTAGCTAGATTTCCACTGCTTGATGTTACAGTATGTTCCGTTCTCTCTGGTCTGTGAAAAAAAAAACTTTAATATAATGTTCTGTCATTAAAATTTTTTAACGTCAAAAATGTTTTTCTTCAGCATTCTTAAACAAGATACGGATAAGATTAATAATTTTAAAAACAAACAAAGGGAGCCTCAAATAAACAAATAATGCTGACGAAAAATAACATAATATCGAATTAGCGATTCAAAGTATCTTTTTCATGATTAAAGACGTTGAAAGGAATTTATGAATTAAAGAAATATCCCTCAGAGATAAGAATGTTCTGAAGCATGGGTCGGTGTTTTTCCATTACATTTTTTTAAAGAAAACCTCCAATACAAATAGAATAATTTTCGGAAATATGCAATAAACAGGTAATAAAAAAAATATCTCATGATAATAATATCATAGTTTCTCAAAAAAATATTATGGATAAGTATTCAAATTTTTACCCTCTTATATCTTAAGTTTCATTTCATTAGTTAATAAAAATTATAGTAATTAATAATTTGAAGGTTCAACCTCTGACCTATTGTTATCTCTACGAGATCTTACCCAAAATAATATTCAAGATAATGAAATAATATACAAGCTATAACATTTCATTCTGTCCGAGTAATAAGGGTATCCTGTGACAATTACTAGTCCTTCCGCTTTTTTTATAAATAGGAATACGATTTCTTACATTGGACAGAACGTGTGTTTTTCTATTACGAGTATTTCTTCTCAAATATTTTGTTGACCATGATTTATATTTGGGTAAAGGAAGAAAATATAACACCAGCCTTTATGTTTTAATAGTATTGAATACTTTTGATATTGATTTTACACTATACTTTTTTAATTCCTAAAGTTCGCTTAAGAGTTAAAGTGCTTTATTAGATACAGTGTAGTAAGTACTTATAATATACGGCGCCAATTTAACTTACACCAACTCATAATGTAAAAAGCCATTTTGACAAACGAGCCTAGGTAAACAATTTTACGCGCAACTTAGGGAAAGGTTATTAATTTTCTTTATCCACCTACACCTTTTCGTTTATTTATCATGTATTTTTTAATTTTCATAAAAATTATGAAAGAGAGTAACAAAATTATACAATTTTAAAGATTTGTCTTTCTACTTACACTTCTTTTGTTAGTTAATTAATTAATTTGCAATTAGGATTTTTAAAGATACCAAAATTAGTTATATTTTATCATCAAAACTCTCTATACTGATTACAAGTTTAGAACTTAAAAATGGACATCAATATCGAGTATATATACTATATAACACGTCATAAACACTCAGAATTTATTAAAATTTCCTTAATCCCCTTGATTATTATATAATTTGTTTATATTAACATTAATCTAATTAAATTTAATATAGTAATATCGTATTCAAATAGAATAAACGTTTGTAGAACAATTTATGTTTTCATAATAAAATATTCAAAGGAAAGAACGGAACGCTAATTATTTGTTCCGATAAATTTATTTTTAACGCAGGAATTTGAAAATGATTTTCTTAATAAAAATTAGTCAGACGTTTCACTAGTGTAATATAGAAATGTAAGTGTATATACATATATACATATATACATATATACATACATTTATATGTACTATATATACACATGGTATTAGATTATATTCTTGTAAAGGTGAAAGGCCAAGATAGTATAAAACCCAATTACTAATAATCTTTATCAATTGAAGGGTGGCCTATTATATAGGGTTTGATTGTAACGTTAGGAAATTGAAAGGAAACCTGGCGTTTCCAAGTTTACGCTACAGACACAGCTGAGTCTAAATAGTATTCCAGATATTTATAAACATATTATCTTAATTATTGCTTGAGTTTAACAGAAATTAGGTTATTTGTATTGTTAAACTGTTCGGTATTTCTATTATAGTTTTCATTACTTTATACAGGTGTATTTTTTTATGATATTAAAGCATGTACGGTAATTCTTCACACTTTGTAAATAATTCATTTATAAGTTTATATCCGACTTCAAAAAAGGAGGTTATCATTCGAACCGTGTATATGTAACATTTCCAGAACTGTCCAGTTTTTGTATATCAACGGCTAGAAAAATGTGCTAAATTTCGAAAGTTTATGTTTTATGTTTGTGTTCGCATCGCATCATCGCAACTACTGGTTTGATTTAATTATATTTTTTTTATTTCTAAAAAAAAAAGAATTATTTATATTAGGTGTTGTTTAACTTAGAGAGTACTACCTCAAAACAAAAGAAAAAAGCTAATTTCCTAACAAAAAACTGTGGAACATCATTAAAGACATCTATAGCAAAGTTAAACTACACAATTTAATTTGACTAAAAGAGAAGATTCAAAAAAATCACTCAATCAAAATTAATTAAAAACTGTCATTTTTGACAATTCTAAAGAGGAATAATTGAATTTGACCAGCTGTAAAATACATCATTTTTACATAGAATATTAGTTGGTATATTAAAGTGAGTTAATTGACCACAAGTTATTTTTATTTATTTTTTTAGTTCCATTGCATTCTTTCCAAACATACTTACACAGGTACGCTATTTATGTAAAACTTTGAAGTCAATTTTATTTTATTAATATTACTTTTTTTTCATATACATTATAAACGTACACTTTTTTTGTATCAAATTATAGGAAAGTGAAAGTGTATTTGCTGTATTTTGCATATATAATTTAGTTTCATACCTAAGTTGCAATGATTATGTTTAATATAGTTACATATTTATTTTATATAACGAACCCATTAAAAGGAATTTTCATTTTTCTATCTATATTTAAATCTTTATGTTTCTGTTGTTGTTCCTTAAGTAGAATGGCCAGAAAAATGGTAGAATTTTTTGCAAATGACTTTTAAACATTCTTTGAACGGTCGTATGAATAATGTCACATACTTTATCTGCACGATTTCGTATCACATGTCGATGTCATTGCTTATCTTTCGCAATCACAACGATCAATAACTGCGACTTTAACTATCACAAAACATTAAAAGTATATTTTCCACAAATTTCAGGACATTTATAATAAATACATCGTTTGTTAAAGAATCAATAAATATTCATCAGCGTATATCGTCATATATATAACGCACCTCTGTAACGAAGTTATGAGAATAAAATAATATTTTTGTAACTTATGTTTCCCAGAATAATAAAAGCTGTTGTGATAACTTTCACGAGTTTCATCACAAATAGATAAATTATATAGTGACATGACCACCTTGTTTATTACTATATCGTCCGATTTTTTACTTTATTGAAACTTACTACATGTTTATCACCGTCATAAATAACCATGTTTTATAGCTAAAATAATTTATATTCCAAATTGCAATAAACATAAAAATATGAACGAAATACGTAGATATTAATTATCAAAGGTATTTTATTATAACAAAATGATACAAGCGTTATAAAGCCTTAACACAATAAAAAAATTACCCATACGAAAAATTTTCAATTAAGTGTGAATAAAAATGTTAAATATATTTTATAAATAATAATTGCTACGTCATGTGAGAAATTTTCTGTTTTAAGAAAGAATTTATCATGACCGCCTGTCGACCGATCACCCTCTGTCAATTATAGCCAGACATCTAACATAGTTAGAACCCTTACGTACCTCTGGGTGCGGTATCGGTAACGAAATATGAGACGTAGTTATGGTGCCGTTTTAACCAAAATGTCAATCACAAACGTTACTTTTGAAGGGAGGAGTAAGTATCAGATCGACGATTATAATAGGCCCATTTAAAACTATGTACCCAACTAGATTCAAGGTTAAAAAGTGAAATAAATTAGACCTTCGTAATGGAAAATTGTATAACTGACACTGTATTACTTTTCTATTATAATAAAAAGAGTTCGACTTGTTTTTTTTACTCATAGAATGTGGTAGTTAATGGTAGAAAACGTGTAGTTTTGAATTAAATTAATAATCACGGTTTTGGTTTTTCATTCCTTCACTATGACATATACGTTATTTTTCAAATAAACAGTTTTATGTAACAACTATTAAAGAATCACAGCAGATATTCTTTAAAATAACTTATTGGTTTTAAAGCAAAATAAAGGTCCGTGCCTTATAACTTAACATAACAAGGAGACAAATATCAACAAAAGACGCTTGCAATCTTTCTTCCTTAATATTTTCAATATCAGTTTTAACACGAAATATATGTTTTTTTTGTTTATTATTTACGTTTTTCTTTTTACGTAGGTTATATAAACATATATAGTCAGAGCAATATATAGAATATTTTGCTTCAATAATTCGTAACGTAACTAAGTCCCCAACCCTGTCATCGGTATTGCATATTTTATTTTGTTTACCTAATTTTTATCATTTAAACATAACCTGAAAAAGATTACAGTTATTATTTTGAAAATCCAAACGGCTACAAGTTAGAAAATTACTCCTTATTTTAGGACATCTAAAATACTAAGGAAATAATCTGAATCTAATATATTTTAATTTAAAAGCCGCGTGTCAAAGTCTAGTTTGGAAATAAAAATTTATTAAAAGTATAACACACAAAAAAAAACACTTAGCCAAATAGTATGTATATTTAATTTTGGCTATGAATTATTGAATGTCGTACCTATATTGTTTATTTGGTAATTTGAATATTCGCAATATTAATAAAATGCTATTCTAATTATAAATAATCTCACACATGTATTCTGCAACGTTTCAGAATTCCTTATTACATTATTCATTCCATTGTGGTCACATAACGTTTGACTGGAACTGAATATCACATCACAAAGGATTAGCCACCAGTTGTTGTGACCGCTGGTCAACTAACATTGTATGGACGTGGAATAATTTGAATTGCAGAAACATTGTGAGTGAGAACTATGTCACGAGAGAAAATTAGCAAGTACAAGGCGCTATTAAATACAGAAAATATAGTTTTACTTACTTTATAAGTATACTATTTGTGACAACGAGAATTATCTTGCTTTATTACAGAAAATTCATAGATACAATCAAAAACCAATAGGACTGC